GTCTTCCAGGTAGGGGATGGTTGGAAAGGAGGGCAGTCTACATGACTACAAGCTCGCGCGACGTCTACCGCAGTCGCGTCCCTGTAAATGGCGTAGTGGATCTGAGATAAACGCGCAAAGTCAAAATTAGATTTAGCGATCGGTGAGTGGCTGAGGACGAGCAGTGATTGGACCGGCACAAGTCGTAACGGGAACGGCGCCGTCGGGCAGCGGGGGAGGGCGGGTCGGCGAGGGGCCCGGTCGTGGGCCGGAGAGGCAGCGGATGATCACGGGGGACAGGTGAGGAACAGCGAGGAGCCTCAGGAGGGGGCCGAGGAGGGGGAGGGCAGGTGAGGAACACATACGGAACGCCGGGACGGTCGAACAAGGGTGAAGGGCGTCGATCTGCCTCTGCCCGATTACGCATCCGTCAGACTCTCTCAAAAGCCATCATGCCCGATTTTTCATTCTTGCTTTGTCCTCCGTCATCCTCCTTTCGCTGCCTGTCTCGCCCCCCGCCTTCGCTTCCCAGTGGCTGCGATCGATCTGTGCCACCCCGCCACCGCTTTGACACCTTTGTTTCTCTCTCAGTGGCATTCCCCTGTGACTTATATACTTTCCAACCTTGTCACCACAATGCTCGAGCATCCTCCCTCCACCCCTGCCCCCGCCCCCATCTCCGCCTCCTCCTCCTCCTCCTCCTCCTCCTCCTCCTCGCCCCCTTCCACCACCGGCGGCCACCACCATCCCCATCACGCGCATTCCCCCCTCCCCCACATCGCAAACCTCATCCCTCACCCGCCACAGCCGCACCTCCCGCACCTCCCGCATCACCACCACCACTCGATGTATTCACCCAATTCACGCGCAGCGGACATCTCGCGCCTCCTCGACCCCGCCTACGCGAGCGGCTCTTCCTCTTCCTCCTCCTCCACACGCACCCGCGCCTCCGGCTGGACGAGCCCCGCGTACCGCGCCACGCTTCTCCCCGAGACGAAACACGCCCACGCCCAGACCCGCGCGTACGTCGACCACCGCGGCGATCTCCACGACCCCGACTATCGCGACTTCCCCGTCCTCCCCACGCCGACGCGCCGCACGCGCTCCCACAACCAGCACAGGGCCAGCGGCGCCGCCCACCACTCGCGCCGCTCGCGGAGCACGAGCCGCCCGCGCTACTCGTCCTCGTACGCGCTCACATCGCCCCCGGAGTGGGAACGCGACTGGACCGAGTTGGACGATGATTCTGACGACGATGCCGAGGCGTCCGACGCTGACTCCCAGAATACACACCTCCCTCTTGCGCGCGCGTCCCCGAGGCGCGCCGTTACGATCCACACGACAACCCAGCCTTATACAAGCTATACACCGTACTCAGACTACTACGCGGACTCACAACCCCTTCCGTTTGCGACCTCTCCCACTGGCTCGCGCGAGTCCCCTATTCAGGAGTCACCTTTAGAGGATTCTCCATTTGAAGAAGACGAGTTAGCGGTGGCACAGGATACGGAACGGCACACGAAGAGGAAGAGGCGACAGAGCAGCGCACCGAGCTCTCTGTTGCGCAAGAGGAGGATTATTGACTCCAAGGAGGAGGTCATGACTGAAGATAGGACTGTAGCTGCTGACACCAATGCTTGTGCCGCCCCGGCGGAGGGCGATCACGAGAGGCCAGCATATAACGCCCCATTCACCATCGCGAATGAGCAACGAGACGACGTGTATGTCTGCCGCGCCCCGCTCTTCCTCGAGACCTCATGCGCTAACATCTCATTTACTACTTGCAGGCCAGGCTGTTCCGCCAGTCTACGGCAACAATGGGCAGCGGTCTCGCTACGGATTCGCTTCGGGCTCTACCACGCCAAGCGGCGACTCAGTCTCCGGAGTAGGCAGCAGCCCATCGCCGCGGCGGCATGAGCTGTCTTGCACCCCGCCCCGCTGGAGGCGGGCGCCTCCACTCCCGCCACTCTGCCTTGTCGCATATGTCTGACCGACCACCTGGCGTGCCGCCCCCTATCTCGGGACACGCGCGTATGATGAGCGTGAGGTCAACGGCGCGCCATCCGTTCTGCCTATCAGCCTCTCCCGACCCAGTTTCTCCCTGTTCATTACCTCAGCCCCTGCCGTGCGCCGCGGACTCTCGTCATCCCACTTTCAGTTGTACACAAGCCATCGATTTCACGCCGCCGCTCCACGATTACCTGCGACCTTGTTCTCATCCTCACCCTCACCCCATCTCATCTCACTCTGAGCCAAATCCGACGCGACCATCCCGTCATGTCGGACATATCTCGGCACGCGTCTTTCCAGCAACGCTGGTCTGCGCGCGGGCGGCAGCTCCGATCGCGTCTATTACACAATCTGCGGCGTGCCTGCCGAGGATCCCCGTCTGGGGTAGACCCTTGGAGCCACCGTTTCGGGCACGAGTTGCGTAGAGCTTTCTATCGGACTCCGCGTGTCTGGCTATCGTCCTGAATGACTCCACGGACTGTATTATCCGTTCGACGGTGCTTAGCCGTCCGATGGACGCGTCGCCTCGCATATCTTCCCCTCCCTCTTCTCACCTCTTACATACTGTTCCCACTGCGTCCGCATCCCCAGTCACCCGCCCCGTTATTTCGGCCGACCACGTTAACGTTCAGGCTTTGTTTATCCAGTAAATAGGAACGCCGTCACGAACCCGACCCGTCTTCCACGTAGTACGCACATTACGCACTACGCATCGCTCTGTATCGCTTCGTCCGCGATGTTGTCGTTGTTTTTTCCTCCTCTGTTGTTTTCATATACATGTGCATGTATTTTGTATCAGCTCTCTCACTCTCAATTCATCGCGCTCTTTTAGCACGTTCGTGCATATCTACTGATGTCCCCGCCTGTAGACTCGTGTCTAGTGGTGCGTGTCGACCTGGCGGGTGGTGTTACTCACGAGCACCATATCTTTCTCAACAACGGAATCGTATGTATATAGCCTTCCGTCGTGCTGTGACCTTGGTCAGTTGAGAGGTCGTCATGTTCCGCAATTTGGTCAGGTACTTTCAAAGTTGAGAGAGTACTGAATGATTCTGATCTCTTGGATATCACTACGGGTCAACATCCCGGTGGTTAAAGCTTGTCAGTAGGAGATGGCCTGTTGACCGCAGGTAACTTACCTGCGCGGAACAGGGAAGGTGGTGGGGAAGTCCGCGAAATTGATTTCCGAGTCGCGATCGGTGCGTATCTCGAGATCGGGCACTTGATCCGCTCACCCCGTTCGGTCCGGACAGAGCAACGTGTTTCGAGCCCTCAGCCACAACGCCTCACCTTCAAGCGTCTACGCGTTCCTCTGCGATTCCCACCAGCCGTACCTCGATGGCACCCTCCGCGTCCTCATCTTCCTCACGCTCGTCGGCCGCTAGCTCGGCCGCGCATTCGTTCAATAAGATATTGAACCAGTTCAAGCTCTCCACGAAAGTCCGGACGCCCCAGGATGTCGAGGATTCGGTGCGGAAGCTGAGGAGGCTGATCCTCGTGGATGGGATCCCGTCAGCGGTGGTACGCCGTGCGCGCTGTGCCTAGTATCGATGAGAGTGGTACTCAGTGCTAATGGAGCGCCTAATGCTGTAGGACCCTACGCTCCGACCGCGGATATGGAAGATACTTTTGCGCGTGCAAGACGTGTCGGCAGATGAGTTCTTAGGGTATGTCGCGCGGGGGCCATGCGAGGTGCGGGAGAAAATCAGGAACGACACTTTCAGGTACGCACATGTGTGCTTGCTCCGTATCCGTGTATCGGCTGACCCCGCGCTTGATGCCAGGACACTGGCCACAGACCGGGGCTTCAAAGAGCGTGTACGGGAAGATATGCTCGTGAGGTTGCTTGATGCCTTCGTGTGGCGGAACCATGGTGCGTAATGATTCGTCAAATCCTCGAATGAGTTGGCTCATGGCGTGTCTACACAGACAGACAAGAGACACAACAACTGGGATTCACATATGTACAAGGCATGAACGTCCTCGCCGCACCCTTCCTCTACACCATGCCCTCCGAGCTCGAGGCGTTCTTCTGCTTTGCGAAGTTTATCGAAGAGAGTTGTCCGTTATACGTCCAGCCAACGCTAGAGGGTGTACATCGGGGGCTCAAGGTAACTTCGGCGTGTCGCTCTCGTTCTCAGCTTGTCTGACACATCTCCAGTTGCTCGACCGATGTCTCAAGATCGTCGACCCTGAGCTCTTCACTCACCTACGATCGAAGAATCTTTCCGCGGAGATCTACGCATTCCCATGTACGTCTCTTTCATGGCCCTTCTACTCAGAGTTTCTCCGGTCCTTATACTATGTAACAGCTATCCTTACGCTCTGCGCATGCACCCCGCCGCTCGATCAAGTCTTGCTGCTGTGGGACTTCCTGCTCGCGTTTGGCGTCCACCTCAACGTGCTCTGTGTCATAGCGCAACTCTTACTCATGCGCGAAGAAGTCATGGCGTCGTCCAGGTGCGTTTCCTGAACCCAAGCGAAAGGGCTTATGTTGATGTCTCGCAAGTCCCATGCGTCTGCTCCGCACGTTCCCGCCACTAGAGGCCCTCCCCGTAATCGGCATCGCTGTCACTTTAGTACGCGACCTCCCTGCAGACCTGTATGATGAACTCGTGCGACATCCATATGCCGTTGAATCATAGGTTGTTGAGGGGCATAGTCAGGCTCTAGGTGCTCTATCGCTGCTATGCTCTAGTTCCAGTGTATTTTCTGACTAGCTCCGCTTTGACTTGTACAATGCTATGGGCTCGCCGAGTCCTGTCTTTTGTTATTTGTGTTTGTATGATTTCCTGGGTGAGCTTCAGATCTGATTGGTGTGTTTCGTTGGTCCCTCGCCATCAATCACTTTCCATGTGAACCCGTTCTACAGTGAGTATGTATAACAAGTGCACCACTTGATGGGCCCCGGGGGGACATTACAACGGCGCTGTGCAATGTGTAGTATATGCTGAAATTTGGTTCTTGCGCGCGACTCGAATTGTGTTGCAGTGAAAGACCATGACATCAATGCCGGGATAGCTCAGTTGGGAGAGCAGCAGACTGAAGGCGTTCCGGTCCTTGGTTTCTGAAGGTCCCGTGTTCAATCCACGGTCCTGGCATCCCTTTTGTTCTTTTACTTATTCACTTCCGCTCCGTCGATTTGCACACAGATTCTGTACGGTTTCTTTTCGCACACACATGGCATCATGGTCCCGCCGATCTGCATGCAGCCACATGCCGTAGGGGTGAGCTCAAGCCTCTGCCTCGCGATACCAAATACCACAGTGTTCCGACAATTAACACAACCAAGCTAAGCTAGTATACAATACCCATGGGCACGACCAGTGCGTTACAGCATATCTAGATAAACATCCATGTGCGACCTAACCGGACTGCTCATTGTCGCCGTCGCAGCTCTCGCGCAAGTCTCACTGTGAGGACGAACGCCACGGTAGCGGCGACACCACCTAGCCTGCATCGAGAGGGTAAGCCACATCACACTTTGTGTTGGTCGTAGCACTTACCTGAACACGATCGCATACGAGTTCGGGGCCGCTGGTGTGGCGAGGCCCTCCCGTATATGGAGGGCCGTATTCATCGCCAACTCACCCGGTGTCGCCGTGCTGTTGCTAGGGCTTTCGACGTTTGAGTTCTTCGGGATGGCTCCGTCGAAAATGGCGAAGATGATGGACGCGATGCCCGTCATGACGAACTGCGGCATTACGATGAAGACGTTATGTATCCCCTGGTCGCGCAACCTCAGGTGTCGCTCACAGCCAGCCTAAGGGAAGACTCACAAGGATGATCCCCGCCTTCGCCGCCAGCCCGCCACCCTTCTTCCCCTCCTCGCCGTCCCACGCTGGCTCGTCGTTGCCGTGCACCTGCAAGTGGCTCGCCCGCGCCGCGGAGTTGGCCATGAACTCACCCCTGCGCTCCTGCTGCAGCCTGTACGCGTCGCCCTCCTGCTCCTCGCCGTCCATCGACGCGGACGACCGGAACGAGCGCACCTCGGCCTCGAGCCCCGAGCCCTCGTCGTCATCGCCCGGGCCCGCGACGAGGAACTGGCGCTCTTCGTCGGGCGAGGCGGGCCGCGAGCGGTGGCGCGTGTCTGCGAGCATGATGGAGGAGGCGTCGCGATCGTCCGCGCCGTCGTCCGCGAGGATGGCTTCTGCGAGCTGCGGGGATCCGAACTCAGAAGACCGCTTTGGCGGAGGCGGGGACGGCGACGTACCAAGGAGAATGGTGCCCATTGCGTTATGGACCAAGAGAAGCCGGCGATCGTCGTGAAGAAGGTTGCTCCCCAGACCGTCGAGTAGAAGCTATGGCACATGGCTTCGTTGGCATTGTGAAGAAGTCAAGCTATGAGTACTCACAAGCTAGCCGCCATACATACGGCGAAGACGATGTGCGACACCGCCCAGAGAGTGGCTAGGTGAATCTTAATCCGGTCATAAATCATCATGAACCGACTCTTGTTGAGCTTCCGCTCCAGCGCCGCACGACTCTTCGTCGCCTCGCTAACGAAGAATGGGAGGAGCATGTTGCACGCGAGACTGAGGATCGAGTTGTAGAGTAACGCCCGCGAGCCTAGACGAGTAGCCTCCGCATTGAGGTCTGGGTCGTCCTGTGGTGTAGCCTCGTGCGCGCGTTTGTGCAGTTCGGCGATGAACTCGGTTGTGTAGAAGAGCACGGGAAACCAGCCTATCCAGGCACTGTGGCGGGGAATGTGAAAGCGCGTCCACGAGGGCGAGGTGGAGGCAGTACCTACAAGAACTGGATTATACACTGTGCGGGTGTTAGTAAGGCTCGGCGTGCAGTACAGTGCGCGACCTACGATCTGGCGGATTACCGGGGGCAAGGTACGGACGTTGTACCAGATATCTTTGACCTCTTGGAAGAATCCCTTCCGAGAGCCGCTGCAAGGACCCGTTCAGAGACAAAATGAGACATTCAAGTCAGTGGTACATACTTTGTAGCAACGACGACTCGCTCCTTAGTACATGCGGCGGTGATAGTGTGCATAGCGATAAGCAGGAGGGAACCGAGTACTGCCAGCACCTCGAGCTCAGTCTTGCCCAAGAATGGGAACGATGTTGTGAGATCGACATTCCCTCTGTACATGCAGCATGCTCAACTGTACGCTGGAAGGCACGAATAGGGAGTACTGACATGAAGTAACCTGCGACGCTCCCTATGCCAAGCATACGGGCTGCCCATGCATTTCCGTCTGCTTGTTCAGATGAGGGTAACGTGTCTACGATCAGAGCGCGATCCACCGCTTGGACTAAAGAACAACGTTGAGTACTATGGCGAACAAGCCAGGCTACGACTGACTAACCTGCGTTAATTGAAAAGTCGATGGAGAACAGAGCAATGATAGCGAGGACTACTGTAAGAGCATTATTCTGTGCACAGTTGGAAAGTGTAAGGAGGATAGCTCGCTCGGACTAGACAGAGACGCACTGCAATAGAGCCTGACGGAGTGAATATGCTAGCGAAGGGCCGTGTGAAGCCTAGGAGTAGCATCGCAATCACGCAGATACATGTCCCCACAAACATGTATGGTCTCCGGCGTCCGAAACGCGACTTTGAGTTATCGGCAAGGATACCTAGTAGCCAGGTTCCAGCAGACGTAGGTTACGCGAAAGAGCGGGGTGTACCAATGAGAGGCTGCACTACCAGCCCAGAGATAGGTCCTGCGAGAAATACTGTTGCGACAGCAGACTTGGAGAGTCCGAGTGAGAGGAGGTATGGTGTACCTTGAGCATACAGTCATCTCGCCTTGCGTTTCTTCGGGTCATCATAGGGTGCTCACCATACGACATCTCTATGGACCAGAACATCTGGACGCCGAGCAGTCCAATCGTCAGCGCCGGAAGCTGCAGCCATCTTGGTCCCAGGACTCTCGCGACTCCTGCCATTTCCACATTGCCATGTTCACCGCCTCCCTCCTCGGCGAGCGGTATGGACACGAAGCCCGTCATGGCCCCGACTGTTCTAGTCGTCGCAGTTCGTAGTACACAGTCGATCACCAGCGCTGGGCAGAAGAATATCTGCGGAGTACTCTAGAGCAGCAGCCAGAAGAAGTGTAGAAGAACGCAAGAGGTGGTAGTGACCGTGTCGAGCATGGGCGTGATGCCGCGCACTGGACGCGCGCATGACACAGCAGTGCCAGGAGTCGGCCTTCATCTCGATCACGGTCAGTGGATCTGATGACCCTTAACACTGCGGGGGTGGCGCGTCATACGGCGCGTTACTTACACTTTCCTTGTGATTGGCCTGTCATCCCAAGCTCCTCGTAGCCGGACTGAGGCCTGCCTACATATATCCCTCGCACTCGTCCGCCTTCCTCGTCTCCCGACTCCGGTGAGCCATGCTGCGTCTACACAGGCAGCAGAGGGCGGCCCTGCACTCCGTGCGCTCTTTACACTCTACGGCGAGGCGACGGCGAGAATTATTCGACCCTAATAACGTGGAGCGGGCTTCGGACGAAGTGGACGTCTGTATCGTCGGCGGAGGCCCTGCTGGGCTTAGCGCTGCCATTCGGTTGAAGCAGCTCGAACAAGAGAAAGGGAGGGAGGTCCGCGTGGTCGTGCTGGAGAAGGGTGCCGAAGTCGGTGAGTCACCGTCGTGCGCAACTTATACCGACTGCTAGGTCTGTGGATGTACGGCGTTAGCCTTGAGGATGTCTTCTTCCATTGCTTGACGGGCTGGCGACGTTTCCAAATACGATGCTGGCCTGTGTGTTTCCCTACTAAGATTGCCGTCTCTCTACTCCATAGGATCCACGGAAGAGTACGGTGTCAATTTTGTATGAGGAGCACCCCCTCTTGGAGTTTGTTAACTGGAATCTGCATCATATAAACCCGTCCGTACCGCTATTGGGGAAACCATGCTGACCTCTGCTCCATACAGGCTCTCACATCCTATCCGGGGCGGTGATTGAGCCCCGAGCTCTGAACGAGCTCCTCCCCGACTGGCAAGAACGTGATGGCCACCCACTCACCCAACCCACCACTCACACCTCCATGCGCTTCTTCACCCAGTCCTCCTCCATCCGCATCCCGCAACCGCCCCAAATGAAGAAAATGGGCACCTACGTCGTCTCCCTCTCACAAGTGACCGCCTGGCTCGGGTCCATCGCCGAGGAGCTCGGCGTGGAGGTCTACCCGGGCTTCGCGGGCGCAGGCATCGTCTATGGCGCTGATGGGCGGGGCGTGCTCGGCGTGCGGACAAACGAGGTCGGGATCGACCGCGAGGGCCGCATGAAGGACAGCTTCGAGCCCGGCATGGAGTTCCGCGCGAGGGTAACGCTGCTCGCGGAGGGCGCGCACGGGTCGCTGTCGAAGGAGGTCATCCGGCGGTTCCGCCTCAGGGAGCACAGCGACCCGCAGACGTACGGGATGGGCGTGAAGGAGGTGTGGCGGGTGGACCCAAGCAAGCATCGGCCGGGAGAGGTGGTGCATACTATGGGCTGGCCGCTGGACTGGAAGACGTATGGCGGTGGCTGGGTATATCATATGGCGGACGGTCTTGTTAGCTTGGGCCTGGTCGTTGGACTGGACTATGCCAACCCATACCTCAGTCCGTACCGCGAATTGCAAGTAAGATTATGGAATTTCTCCTGACACATCGTCCACTCATCTCAGTGACTACTACAGCGCATGAAGCACCATCCGTACTTCAGGGACCTGCTTTCCGGCGACTCGACACGAATAGCTTACGGTGGCCGCACACTCAACGAGGGCGGCCTTCAGTCCCTGCCTCAGCTGCACTTCCCAGGTGGGGCACTCATCGGGTGCTCCGCAGGCATGGTGAACGTCGCGAAAATCAAGGGCACGCACAACGCCATGAAGAGCGGGATGCTGGCCGCCGAGGCCGCCTACGACGCGCTCACGCAGTCCACCGACGCATCAAAGCCCACCGACATGAGCGCGTACGCGACGGCGTTCCAGAACAGCTGGGTACATGCAGACCTGCACGAGGTGCGCAACCTGCGGCCGTCGTTCAACACGGCGCTCGGCATCTGGGGCGGGGTCGCGTACTCGGGCGTGGACAGCCTGCTGCTGAGGGGCCGCACGCCGTGGACGTTCCGCAACACGGCGAAGCTGGGCGACGC